TGTACTTTTTTTTATCATTTATAGCTGCCAGACTTCCGCCGGATCGACAGCACAACCGCGTCACGACACGAATGGACGCTTTTTGCTACATCCCGTCACGCAATACTGGCCAAGTCTTATCTCGATATTGCAGCATAACACTGTTAGCCGATACTGCGAAGCTAGATTGTCGCCAACTCGGCATTTTCCCCATACGCTCGTTACGGGTGTCTTTCTACCAACATGATATTTATATATATATATGTATATCCATCCATGTTTATTGCGTTGGATTGACAGAGATCTCCGTGAAATAGCGAATATTATTGACATAACATATCCTCGTCCCCAAGAGCCACTCACAATTCTCGATCCTCGAATATCAGTTAAAAGTGATTCATTTCAACAGATTTAATTTTTTTAAACAAAAAAGAATGAAAAGCATTGCGGCCACTGCGATATTCGACCGAACTTACCGTAGCATATAAGTTAAATAGGTTTTTAAACCTATTTATAATTTATTACCACACTACAATTTTTTACAACTTTATTATTGCTGATTTATATTTAATTCAATGTCATTTTATTCACCTTGCTATGTGTGTTAACGTGTTTCTAAAAAAATATATTTAATCATAAGAGTGGTGCGCTTCAATCTTTAATATTATTAATGGCTGTGGAAATTGCCAGTGGCGAGTATCTCGCTGTAATTAGTCTATCAGCAGATGTGTATGTACACAACTGGAACGAGTAACTCTCGAGCAGCAGAGAACTTTCATCCTGTATTTCCCCATACATCTACGAAGAAAGTTTGGCAAAGCCCGAGTGAGCCAAAACACTGCTTTCTCGGCTGCGTCGTCTCTCGTACTATTCCACCCGTTTGTACGTGCAAGATTTAGTTGTCGCAATGAAGCACTTACCGCTTCCTACCTACTAAGTACCACCATGGATCAGAGGCCGCAAATGTCGTCTTTCTTCAGGGGTGGAATATAGGTCGCGCCGCGGATACGAACGTCACGCGTACAATAATCTGGCTCTACAGTCAGATGGGATCCAACCGGAAATGAGGCGCCCGAGAAACGTCGTTGAAAAGAATATTCGACCACGCATGTACATCCTGAAGCACGAAGCGACGAAGAAGCTCTCGTCGTATTCAATGCTCAGCATCAACACGACAACATCAACACAAAACATTTTGACCGCTAAGTACTTTTTAATCAGCCGCAAAGCGCAAGAGATATTTCAGAATTCTACAACGGTGAAACGTTAATCAGCTAATGAGACTCGTGAAACAAACGACAAAATTTTGACAGCTATTTCACGGTAAATTAATCGACTTTGAGATTCTCAGTTATATTTATTGTATTGTATTTCAACTTGCGTATTTTAACAAACTTTACACGATTTGCGTATTGTGAAGTAACTGATATTTTGAAAAATTTTGCAAAATTCAATATCTTTCCCTTTTGTAGTTACATTTTACATCCATTGAAGCAAAAATTATTAATCCAAGCCAATGTCCTCTAATTTTCATTATTGACCAAATTTTACTTTAGCCTAAAAAACAGTCGATATTTCCGAATATCTATTCATTAAATTAAATTTTCATCTCTCTCTGAATGATTGTCTCGATTGTTAGAACGTTATATTACGGGACCTTAACGGAGATATGAACAAATTGCATGGTCTTGCGGAATAGGGATTAGAGTTTTGTATTGTGTTTAGTCACATCGAGAAGTAATGGCTGATGTATGGGTAGAACATACTATCCCCCATTGAGAGGTATTACTCTATCGATCACCTAATTTTGCGATGTTTACCGATATCGTCGTATCTATCCGACTTTAACGATATAATATTATACTGCCTGGCAATATCCCTTACGTCTTCATTTCACTCTTCTCTCTCTTCTTTTTACACGAAAAATCCTTGTTGCCGAATAAAGAAAGGAAGGGAGAGAATACGAATAAAAGTACTTACGATATATTGATCCACAATATGCTCTGTCAATAAAATGTACTATTTCCAATTTCTCGAAAAGCTCGGTACACGTAAGATGTTTCAAAGCTTCTGCCTGTCCTTACATTTAAATGTGTACAAACTAGTTGTATTAAAATGTACGTCCATGATATAATGATATAAAGTATAAGAGATTTTTTTAATAAACACACAATATATGTATGATTTCTTCTATACATGAAATATATTTAATCAGGCACATTTAATTAGGTTCGGTATGAAAGTTAAAACAGCATAGCATTGACTAAAGTAGAAGACATAATGAAATAATTTTGTCGCTCTATAGCGTAGAAAAGGAAAATAATACAAAGCAGTATAATCGTATACGTATTCGTGATTGTATAAATTGCGCAATTTCACGGAAAATATGCATATAAATATTCTGCATATATTATTCATCTCGCGCGCATATCTGTTCTCATAATTTTCAATTACGACAAAGGACGTCGATCCCAAAAGATCACCGAGTCGACATTCAAAATTGCGCTTTGGAGGTTCATCGCGGAATATCGGAATATCGACATTTCTGTTTATCACGCTGCGTTCGACAAATACTCATATATGCGAGACAAAACGAGCGAATAATTCCGCTTGCGTAATGAGCCCATCCTCTCCTTTTTTCTTTTCTTATTCCTTCTCGCCGCAATGTTCTCGCAATCTTTCGCTCTTCCGCCGAAATAGAAGCACTCTTTTCAACGGTAATTTTCTCCTGAAATACGCAGATATATATACGTGCGCGATGTGGCCTCGAAATAGCAAAGGAGTCGGAATCTTTATTACAAATCTGAGTGCACCTGTGCCAGCATATAGAGAGGTACCTGCACTCGAGGATGGCGGTAGGAATAAGAGGGGTCGTTTTATTTCGACGGTGTTTCAATTTAGCAGCCGCTGCGAAAGAGTTTCGAGCTTTTATCGCGTAACTTCTACCCGCCTGGGTAGAAAATAAAAGGAAGATGAGCCAGAGAGGCGCGAACTGAAATATCGGGTGAAATGCTGGGGCGAGAGACGTCGCGAGCAGGCACGAATATTGCACTCAGTATATTAGCGCTTGAAATTTAAATACAAGTCGAAATTATAAGCAACCACGGTTATAAGCTCGTTTCTGCCACAAGTTCGTGGATATCCAATTAACTGCTCTCTCCTCTATCGAATTTACCATCACCTCAATGTAAGGACATCTGCGACAACTGCTGTTTCATGTAGCAGTTATTCGATAAAACAATTCCCGGTGATATTCATTATTTTAATTTCATCTCTTTCTCTTTTTACAACATTCATAAATCACACGTATAGCTCGCCCAGCTCACGGAGCGACGTCGAATTTTACTTGTATTTAATTTAGACTTGTATTTAAAAAAAGCGCACATTCAACGAGATTAAGGAAAAATTGTGGAAGACGTGTGGGGGAACGGAGGGGAGTCATTCTTATCGCGATAACTCTCAACGACACTTACAGCTGCTGACGTATTAGGCTGTGCTGATTAGCATTCTTTTAAATTAAGTTTTTATTACGTTAATTGCCAACCGAGAGCGGTTGGGTCGTTTTAGCTGACACTCACATAATTGAGAAAGGACTTCCCGAGCATATCCGTAATTTCCTCTCTCTGTGGTGCGATTCCGTTATTATCTGCCGTCGCCGTCTAATTGACTTTTTATTACGTTAATGGGGGAGCTGCTGGCTCGTCGTGTACGTTTTCACATTCAACGACGGTGGAATTTTATTGACGATATCGCGAGCCCACCTCTCGCTTTTCCTACCTTTTACCGGAGGTTTGTGCGTGGGTTAAATCCTATTTAGCTCCGACCTTAACCTCGTCCTTGCTGGGCGCTGCTATTTCTGCTTCCCTGTCAAGCTCAATGCGCGATTAAGTGGATTCCTTTTTACGACGAGTGTAAATCGAAACGGAGAACGGGATTCGCGACGGTTATATCGAGGATCCCAGGTGCTTCCGGTAGATATATGGTTTATATCGCTGTAACAAAAGACTCAACGCGATCACTTCGTTTCACGGCGTACTTTTACGATGGTATTATATTAAAACAGTTTCCCACATTTTGCAATATGTATAGCACGCGACGTGTTATACACATTAATCACATGACAAACTGTGCGATACACGTGAGCCGTTCAAACACAAGTAAGTAATGTCGGAAAGTATTATTAATGGAAGAAAAATAATATCATGCATATTCAGATTAAAACGTTATTATATTTTTAACAAATGGACACTGAAATTGATGGGGATTAGCATTTTATTAACAAATATACAGCGAAAACGTGTAACGTTCACATTCACATAGATGTCATCGATGCGAATGATTAAAGAGAGCAAACACGCGAACGTACGTGTTCACGCAAAATATGTTGTAATACGCTATAATGGGTAGCATGTGAGTCACGAGGAATAATATCCCGTCATTGATTCTATTTTTCTTAGGGTTCTTAGAATGTTGAGAGGGGTCGATTAATAAGAATGTACAACCGCGTGGTAGGAAACGATAATTTCTCCTTACCTGTATCGTGTGGAGTTACGGCTTTTGACGTTGTTGAAAACGTAATAAAAAAGAAACAGTTTTTTATATTATCCGTAAAAGAATAAACATGCAGCAAACAGAGAGACACAGAGAGAATACAACAATGTTAGAATTTGCTGGAACAGCCAATTCTGATAAATAACGTTTAATCATACCTATACTCGTTTATATTGTTTACATGCTAGATACAAAAATACCTAATCATGGATATCGACGATCGTAAAAAATGGTAAATTACAATATTACTCAGAAAGATAACGAATTACGCATGTAATTTTTAAAGATTACATCTATAACATCTATCTATATATATTCATTTAACATCCTGCCATTTTGAAATAAAGATGATCCCTTTCGTAATAACTTTCGTAACAACTTGATACATATTGAAAAAGGATATCTGGTTACTCGAAATGATAAACAGGGATACTTCTGCAAGAGATTGAGAATGAATAATTACGCTGGTATAGTGACGATTAATGTTTTATTGAATGCGTAGTTAGAATGTTTAATATTTACATTGATTCCAGGTATCCAGATAAATAACGTTGATGAGCGCGTGTCCGCGGCCGCATCGCCACGTGTCGTGCGTGCCGTACATAAAATTCGAGATATACGGTCGAAACCGTGAAACCAACGCATTTTCCGCCGCCGAAAAAACCACGAGACCAGCGCACCGAGCTTTCGCCATTTCACAAAACATCGGTAGCCGTCGCGGAAACGCGAGAGTTCTTTCGAATTACACTTCTTCGTCCGTCACTCCCTACTGCTTTTCTCCCTCCGTGATTTTACGATTGAAATTTCACGCTCGACAAACTGACGCTAAATACCCAGACGAATGCCTAAGGGTTGTCGTTAAATAGTCTGAGAGTATCCCGAACTTTTGGGCTGCTTTTACACACCTTTTGGCTGACTTTCTCGCGTCATCCTCGTTATTCTGAATGAAAGGAGCCGCGACGACAGCTCTCCATCGTTAGCCATACTTAGCACCAATGAGCAAGGTCGTTTGTATGATTCCACGCATTTGTACAGAAGGAAAAACCTCCATTGTTGTTAGTATGTAGTTAGTCAAACAAGTCTCGATTCTGCATGAAATGGCAGAAGAAGAAGTGTTGTACCTTTCTCGAAAGATTTCACCGCTCACATCACGCGTGACGAGCCATCCGAGGCTGAATTATTCGCCAATCTTGAGGATGCACAAAAGGGTGGGTATATATTGAGCGGAAGAAGCAAAGAACAAACGGTAAACGTTTGCATCGATGTTCGCTGTTTCCTCTACTTTGCATTTACACCGGACATTCATTCGACCGTGTATGTGTATAGATGTTTGTATTTAATTTTTGTTTAAAGATAAGTACACACATACACACACACACACACACACACACACACACACACACACACTGAGCGTGAGTAGACAGCGAATGTCTCGATATATACCCACCCGAAGAATTTCAAGACGCGGAGGGGAAACTCCCGCGCCATGACAATGGCACTGTGAAAGTCGACGGGGATTGAGGTAAGGCTTCTACAGCGCGGAAAGAACGTCGCTCATCCACCTCAGGCTCGCGTAATCAAGTTGTCGCAAAAATTCTGCTTGCCTTACCGAAGCGCGATCTTGTTGAAGTAGCCAGCTTGAAAAAAGAAATTTCATTCAAACTTTTCGCCACCGAGGAAAGCGCAGAATTAACAAGTTTTATACGAAATATATACATATATTTTTGTTGTTGCGTCAGTCACCGGAGTTAAAGCGAGATTTTCACTTAAACTTTTCCTTATTTCTCGTCGTTAAAGTACGTTGGAAATGGATCTTTTTATCGTTGTACCGTAGTGACAAAAGCCTTGCCTAATTGCAAAAAGAAGAAGGAGAAAAGAGAAAGGAAAGTGTGTGTGCCCATTACAATTTTATCGCGACACTCGATGGACGACAAACAGAATTTCCAGGACGCGCGCGCGCGCACGCGCGACTACTACGTTATATAATAACGTATCGTATATAGCCTATACGGTGAAAGCTCGATCGAACGCTTTCAAAGGGAACATCTGAACCGAGCGAAAAACATATCCCACCAATGAGTGCGGCAGACGATAAGCGACACGAATCACTTTGGGGTTCGAAAATATCGACGATACATGCATTAATTGGAAGAACGATAAATCGAGCTCTCACCATATATACATAGTGTATTTTTGTGTACATAACGAATATATATGTACGTATATGTATATAGGTATATGTAGAATGCACGTACGAAGAAACCGGCTCGCGCCGATCACACACACTGAAGGACATCGACGAGAGCCGCATACCGAGCTTCGGAAAGGCTTCCATCGAGGAAACGGCTTTTCCGCGAGAAGCTGAGTTTCCTGTGCAAATCAATCCGGAATTCCCTGCTGCTTACGCGAATTCTCCGCCGACGCGTATCTTGGAAAACCGAAACGTATCTTAGTACCATGGTTTCATAATCTTCTCGTTTCGCTGCGACTTACATGGTTACATCCGACACAACTAACGCGGCGGTCGCGACGGTCACACTCGAGCGTGAGGAATAACGGGAGAACGACGGAGGAAAAACATTGTTAGAAAAATATCGTTACCATAGCACAGCTTTTCATTCAATAGAAACGGCGCGGCGGGCCCACGCGGTGGCAAATTTATAGCAGCGTGATACTGTTCCCGCGTCGTAAGATTTTCGTTCGCTTTGTATCATCCCCCTCAGATATGTATCTTTACGGACGATCGAATTTGCTAATTTCTCCGAATTCTAAAGTTCCCGTCCGGCAACGTTGTCTTCGAACTCATTGTTACAGCGAAATCTACCGGTGCGACAAGAAAGAAACTGCACTTTAACGCCTGTGAACACATGACAAATTTTCATCTCGTTCGCATTTCGCGCAACCGTCACACGCCGATAGTAACCGTACGACGCGCGCGCGCGCGCGACCAAACGCGAAGATTACGCGGAAGTGTTTCAAGAGTGAAACGTATCCTACGTAAACCGCTAGCTCAATTCCGAAACGGAGTATCGTCCGGCTAAGCGCATTTACGTGACACTCACGCGAGCACGGGCCAAGATACTAGGTAGTACAAGAGGAGCGAGGGGTTGAAGTGGGAGGCGCCTCGCAGGTGCACCGAAACCCGAGGATACCCGCTGGCGATTCTCTACCCTTGAGCCACACAGGACACTGTCAGACGGGCACGCCGAACGCGTGAACCGCACTGAGCCACCTGAACCCGCGTTTATTTAGTACGACGCAAGAAAAACACACGTAAGATAAAACCGAGGTCGCAAACGGTATCCGCGATACCACGCGCACTGGAGTTCCCGGCACACTGGAGTCTCTTCTCGGTGCGGAACGAACGGCGGAATCGTGTCGTGCCAAGCAGCAGCAGCAGCAGCAGCAGCAGCAGCAGCAGCAGCAGCAGCAGCAGAGGACGACGCCTGGGAACTCGTTTCCTCGGGAGTGGGCTCCGTTTTGACGCGGAGGGACACGGGCCGAAGGATGCCGCCGGCGTTGCGGTAATTCACGTCGGGTAAAGGCTCGTGAAACTCGGTATCCTCCAGCTGACGGCCGCTAGGAAGGATACCAGGAAGTTGCTCGCCAAAATTGCCGGGCTGAGGTTCCTTCTGTCGCCGCCGTGCATCGCCGCCGGCTTCTCCTCCTCTGCAACGAGATTAGAAAGCTGCGCTATGTACGATGGACCGGGAGGCACGTGGCTACGTACGCGGATCACTTAATTCTAGATTGCTTTTTCACGTGAATACCAAGAGCTCGGGATCTTAACACAATGAGGCGAATGAGGTCCTGCGGTCCTGCGGCGAAGCGCTTCTGCCTATTTGCACTTCTGCCAACGTGGGACACCGTGAAAATCTTTATGCTGCTTCTCTGCTGTTGGGAATTACCGTTACAGTCTAAGCTCAGCAAATAACACAAGATATTGATTTGCCACTTGTAGATCCTTCTATTGTTTGTCTCCAACTCTTTGTGCTTTTTTTACGAAAATCTGAGACGAATGATTAAAAAGTGCGATAATTCAAACAGGGACGACGAGAAAACTGAAACCTATCGTTTCGTCTTAAATCATTCGTACCGGCAAATGTTTTAAAGATGTACGGGTGAGCCATGAGAAGCAGTCACGTTTTCAGGGAAAAAAAGAGCGCGAAGAAATGTTTTTCCCAAATAGGGTGACGAAATTCTCCCACGGGAACAGAGACGACGTTTTAAGCGATCTCAGCGACTGCCCGACGTTCTTAGTTGAGATCTAAGAGATGAAACGCGGATCATTTCACTCCCCTTGCTGTAGAAAATACCTCTTGACAGTCCGGTCACGTGCATAACGCTCCCCTAGTTGTCACGTGCACCGACGTCAACGGAGACTCGACAAACATTGAATGAGGAATATCTGTCGACCTGGCGTCAAGAGACGTTCGCTCTCTTCTCTACATAATCTTGAATCCAAGTCGCTGCTAATTGTAAAGTTTGGTACGTACGATACTGGCTCTACCGGAGAAAGTTTCCCATGCAATTTTTTGACGCGGAAAGATTTTCAAAGATTGCTTCGTACTGAATCGGATATATTAATTTCGGTAAATATATAGAAAAGGGTACACCTCACCGATTTTTTTCATTTTGAAATATGTTATGAAAAGGTTGAAATTCTGAGTGACTTCCTGATACAACTATATGAGGATTATAGTTTTCAAGATATTTTAGTTTAATTTGATTTTGGAATTTTGATTATCCTGGAATTAAATTCCAGATATCATAAGCTGAGATTACTTATAGCATAATCCAAACAGTTAATCCAAACATAGTATATACATAGAAATATAGGAAACAGTACATATAAGCGGGAGAGGGGCTCCGCACCCCCTCCCTAAAAACATCCTAGCCTAACTTATTGCATCTTTATATATTGTTGGGCGATGTTGAAAAGATCTCCTTAAAAGCCACAACACCTAGTTATATGCAGACGTTATAATAAGTTAAGTTGAGCCAGGTGATAAGTGATAGATCTTAAGAGAACTTTTTTCAACAATGTCCAAAAATATATAAAGACGCAATAAATTAGGTTAGGTTAGGATTTGTTTGAGGAGGAACCCCTCTCCCGCTTATATGTACTGTTTCCTATATTTAAAGTGAATGAAAACTGCTTGTCTACTTCAAATATACTTCGACGTACAATTATAAAACTTTGAAGTCATATCAGAAACTATAAGCGACCCCCATATAATTGTATTAGGAAAAGTCACTCAGAATTTCATCCTTTATAACATATTTCAAAATGAAAAACTCGGTGAGGTGTACCTTTTTCTATATATTTACATTAATTTCTTCCATATTCTTTAGAAGAATAAGCTTACTTGGCTAAAGAAAGTAGTATAAGACGTTCACCGTAAACAGACTGTAGATCAATATCCTAGAGAATTTTCTGCCTCCAAGACTTTCTGCCTCGTATCGCGGATATCAAAAGCGTATCAAAAAATTAAAATAAAATCCGAGGTATCGCGCGCGCGCGCTCCTTGGAAAGGGGAAAATAATAGATAAGTTTGATAATGCCCTGCGGGCTATCGCGTTATTACGTAGTTACTAAGCGCGTTAAAGTGTAAGTAAAGCCGGCCTGAAGTTACGCCGTACTTTCGAAAAATTGCGTCGAACTTGGTCCTCGCGGCGAACTCGAGAGGGTAAAAGTTTCGTCGTTAGAGAGCCGGTCGTACAATTTTGAGCCGCCCTTCTGTTATCGCGGACGAGCTACAACGGGGATGAATGCGTCCACGAGAGCCGCTAAATCCGATCGTAATGAGCTTCCTACAACCGTTTAATTGTTCGGCTCTTACTCTAATGAATATTCAAGTTCCGCGGAACTTTCACGGGCCGATCGGCGCCGATCTTCGTCGGAGTAACTGGAGCGAGTCAATTACCGCCGCGTTATATGCGGAGGCATCGCGGATATATTCTGTCTACAGACACGTTCACGAGTAGGCCCCATAACACAGGGGGAGGGCACGGGGATCTCTTGCTCAAGTCGGACCTCTGGCAGTCGTCGTTCCGCGTCAAACACGTCCCTGTAATTTACGGACGATTTAATATGCCCCGCTCAATGTAAGCTCGTGTGGTCAGCAGAGTTTTGTTTCTTGCAGCGCTTACGTTCACGCTTCCGTGAACGTTGTCAGCGTCAACGACGTCGACCGACGCGTTTTTACAGGATTTTCTCGATGTATACCAACTGTTCGTTGACTGTTTGCCCATAGTCTCTGTACAAATAGTCACTACATGTTGCTTTTCATCAAGAGAGCGCGGAGCAGAGCACAACACATTCATGCATGTTTAGAAATGCTATTGCAATCAACTCGTCAGCCAGTTTTCCTAGTTTTCTAATCTGTATCTAGTTGTGTAGAAAAAGCTTCGATATTCGCGATGGGAGAGATGTCTATTATTTTTCTACTACAAACTGCAGCACTTGAAATTAGGTCGGCTATACCTGGTGTGTTATTCTTTCGGTGCGAATCAACACAGAGCGATATTTTATTCGATTTTATTTCGACATTCGAAAGTTCCTGCGAGCAAAGTTCAGCAAAAGGATTATCGAGGGAATGTATATTCCTCACCTTCGATGACATGAACCATGACGGAAGCCGCCTTGGCGTTGCTAGGTACGCACGTGTAGTTACCGTCGTGCGTAAGCTTCGTTTTGTTCACCGTCAAGATGGAGCCGCTCGTCGTTAGCTTGACGTCGACGCCAGGCTCCTCGTCGTAATTTATCATGCGGCCCTGACGATACCAGAAGACGTAAAGAGGCTTTTCCGTAGCCGCCATCAGCTGGCATTCCAAACGGAGGCTCGAGCCTTGCTTCACATGTAGATCAGGCGCACCTGGTATTATCGAGTACGCCTCCGTGATTTTCAAACGGGCAAAGTTTCGTTGCACCGGATGCGACGTCACCTGCAATTGCGATATAGCGGTACCCTTTAACCCCTCACGACACGATTTGAAAGAAAGTACAGAGAGTTGTGTAATCTCTTTGTACTCGTCGATGCGCGACTCGAATCAATCGCTCTTCCTGCATCAATACGTCCTTAAGGATAATAACTCTTTAAGATAATGAAAGAAAAAAGCAGTCGTCGTTTGATCTCATTGACTCTAGCGATCTTGTAAAAATAATTAATTAAGATATATCATCGATAAAAATTGTGTTTGTCACCAAACGAGCGACACATTGGTTATCGTTTTGAAAGCCTGCTTGAGGTTAAAGACGCGGTGCGTCTTCGTGACCTTAGATACTCGCATGTAAGACGCGTGGTCGACTGCTTTGACATTTTAATTGACATTTTCAATGCGGAACCTTTGACGAAAGTTCACGGAACCGTGCACTAGAAAGCTTACTCAAGCTGCTAGTGAAAACTGAAGCTGTTTTAAATAGCCATTCGAAAGATTCAACCCTATTCTTGATGTAGGGTTCCACCATTCTAAAGTAAGACCCAGACAACCGAAACCGAACAACGTTGTTTGCAAAACATGCGAATAGTGTCTGATGTCGTCACAAATATAAACACGCTGTTAATTTTATAGTGAAACGAAACAATCATCGAAATACCTGACATTCGTATATGCCGGCATCGTCTACCGTTACGGTACGTATCATAAGTGCCCAATCGGTGCTGGAGTGCCTGACGACAAATCTCTTGTCGATCGAGTGCGTGCTGGTGCCGACTGTCAACAGTTGTCTGTCTCTTCGCCTCACCCACGTGATCTATAACAAAAATAAAACAAGAGAGGATAAATATGCATTATCTATATATTATTTATAGTATATCTCAACATACATTTCGAGGAGTAACGAGTAATCTCAGGACAGGCATCGTTGCTTAATTTTTTAGGCCTATAAGGATATGTCACGTAAATACTTTGAAATATTGCGAGAAAGTGAAAATTGAATCGATTGAATAATAAAATAAAATTTAATCGTCGAGGCTAGATAATTATGAAGTGCAATATAATTTTTAGGTACTTTAGGGAATTGAAAAATAATTTCGTCTTCAAGTTTTGACAAGTGATTTGACAACTGTCATAGAATCGTCAATCCTATAACAATCATAAAATGAATAATCATGATTACATTAAGTTTATCTATCTCCACAAGACGCAAAGACAATTGTTGGATAATGAAAGCTATTTACACGGCATAGAGATCGTAGGCAGTTAAGCAATTTAGGGTAACAATATATAGAGGAAACAACATGTGTCAAGTGAGGCAGTATGAGGGAGAAGCCTCAACGCGCATCGAATATCAATTATCACGCCCATTAGAGCACCCTAATTTCGAGCTAATTTTCATTCCCTAGCGTACTGACCACGAAGCTGTGCTATGCTCGATATATCGGATAGCGGTTGCATCACACGTGTTTTCATCACGTAACGGTATTGCTAATTTCCTTCATTTTTTAATTATATCCAAAGCGTCAGGTGCCACCCGTATCTCTCTCTCTCTCTCTCTCTCTCTCTCTTCATTCTTTGTCCATTTTATATAACCATTTGTCAAAGTTTTAATTGTTTAAATATATATATATATATATAAAGCAACAGTTGAGATTTGTAAATGTATTAATTAGGAACTTTCCATTGTTTTGCATTAAGACAATGCACTTTGAAATTTTCATCCGCTTAGCTTTAATCTTCTTTCCGTGAGGATTATTATAGGGAAATCTTTTAAGAACCTTTTTTTCTAATAGCTCTCTCGGCTTGAAAATAAATCGGTATTTTGTTCGAAACTCTTGTACATGCAGATCATCACGAGTAAAGGTGCATAAAAATCCGCTATTACTCTTTATGTGTGCGTTTTATCGCCCATCTCAAGCGCAGCGTGTTACATTAAGGGACCTCATAACGAATGGGTCATATACATTGGCTTTATGTCACGTTCGCCGCACCGCACAATATACGAGCGACATTTATTGGCTACATCGATTCATTTAGGTTATTTCTTTCCGTGCGTTTCCCGCGTGTTATCAAAAAATACATTTCTCTCTCTCTCTCTCTCTCTCTCTCTCTCTTTGCGAGATATCATATAAATGTCAATTATGTTAACAGTAAATTATTACTATTTTCAGAGAACTATATAAAAAATTTTATCGCATAATGACACAAGCCATTATTTCTTTCAAATGTGACGATGGGAATGTTGTTTGAGTTAACAGCTTTCAGTGCAATTTAATTACTTCCAACTAGAAAGTTCCTATTATCGCGGCTTTAATTCGAAGCCGTCGTAGACATTTTACGTAATGCTGCTCCGAAATCAGGACACACAGAAATGTCGCTAGCGCCTCGAACTATCTAACGAGCTACATAATGATCCGCTGCACGTACTCTTAGTCGAATGTGTCTCGTTAAAATGCAATAGGTCACACGGAAGTTGCCGCAGCATCGTAACGCAAGGAGCCAATTGTCGTTCTCCAAAGAATCATCCCCTGGAAATGTACACAATACGTCGAAACCAATATATGCATTTAATGACGCTTGCTTTCATCCTCACGATTATTCTCATTTCCATTGTCGGATGCAAACTTTTCCCACACTAATTGTATGTGAGCTTACTTCGCGATAACAAAGCTTACATTGCGAAACACACACAGACATTTGATTCCACAGGGAAGCCTGGAAACTTTCGGTTATGTACTGCCGAATAAAGGAAGGAAAGACGTCGTTCAGCCGTGTAAACAGTGTTTCTGCGCAATCCAACTTGTTATGAGAACACATCCGATACATGTACACTCGCCACGAAAAGTCGCGCGCGAATCCATCCTCCTGAAATGAAGTTTCGATCGAACGAATCAGGAGAAACGTCACTCTGCCGATCCAATCATTTTTTATATCCGGATACGGTACGGGCCGAGCCTCGTCATAACCGTCTTGGGGCCCGTCCCCCCTCCCGCCTCCCCCCCCCCGCAGTCAGAACATAATTAGACCGATTTCACGTAATACATCCTGAGGAAACCAATTCCCGAGGATATGACATTTCTGGTACCGCCGAGCCCGATAATCCAGAGTGCTTGCTGTAATCCTGGATTCCAGGCTGAAAAGGACCTATCTACGGCGCACCGGCGTGTAACGGCGAATCCAATATGGCAAGGGCGTGTGTGTACCTGTGCTACGTCGCTAGTCTTTGACTGGTGGAAGTTATCGGGTAGTGGAGTTTGCCTCAATCGGCATGGAGTTACGAGAACTTCCCCGGTGTCTTCGCGAACAGGCGGCGGGAGAGAGTGCGAGCACAAAGACGGCGCGAATTCCTTCGACGTCTGCCGTTCGGTTTCAACCAACCCCTAGCACGAATACGCACACATACGGATTGCCAGGACGAGCAACCGTCTTCGCCTAGCTGCTGAGTACGTGGACTCCATCCACTGCACGAGATACTTGCGTAGCCAATTAGGGAAGCTTCCACGTCCATTAGGAGACCGAAACGACTGAGCTACAGTAAAGCTCTCAAGGAGCTAATGTATGTTACAACAAAGATTACACGTGAAGGATGACTCAGTCTATTTCTCTTCCATGTATTTCCTGAACGCGCGCGCTACATAGCCACTCTGCGGGAACTCTAGCGGCGCATCTCCTCTCCACGCAAAATTGTACTTTTCCTCTGTCAGGGAAAACAAGATTGCACCATACATCGACCCTTCTCTTCTCCATCGCTTCTTCTCTGCCATGTTTGTCTACATTGATTACGCTTAAAGAGGATGTTTCTTTTTAACGGCACTTTTTCCCAGAGACACAATAATCTACGCTAACTTTTGAACTGAGAGAGAGAGAGAGAGAGAGAGAGAGAGAGAGAGAGAGAGAGAGAGGGAGGGGAAGAGGTAAATGCTTTTTACGCTTTTCATAACTTTCTACGCTTTTTTCACAAAGAGCCTTTATTACAGGTCCACTGAAAAGACTGCTGCTTCGTGACCAACTACATAGCATAAGCCGCGTTATTTAGACCGCGCTGGATAAAAGCAAAACGCATCCTGCAAGCTCTCATTACAACAGAGATAGGGAAATATTTTTTCATATACGCGCGACACACCGAATGAAATCCTTATCTAATCTTCGCATAAAATTTCGTTCTTATACGTATATGGTATCATAATTCCGCGATGGAAATTTACAATTTTTATCACGAGGAACGTCTAATTCAAGTATTTGTTTGAAATTTGAAAGTTGTCTTCTACAGATCAATAATTTAATTTGAATAAAATATATACAAAAATCAGTTTATCCTGAACAGCAGAGGGTTTATGTTTCGTATAAATTCGGAGCAAAAATTGCAAATGTAGGATATATTTGATCATTTTTATTTATATAAAGGATGAAAAGAATTCACATATAAAAATATCAATTCGTTTTACTTGTTTGTCTCCATTATTTTTCCTTTTCATGGTTAGCGCGTTTGAAGACTCGATACAAGTACAATAAAAGTACGTTGTAAAGTCTGATAAAGATTGTCGTTGGAAGACGTCCACAAGATGTGAAATATCCAGCAACTCTGTGTAATTCTCGATATAATGATATATGATCGTTCCACTTGCTCGACATGTAACTTGTATAACTAGAAAGAACTATTTAAAAACAATCGATCCCTAGGTAGGTCGCTAATAGAACGTGGAACATAAAAACGTTAATTCTTCAGCGTCGCTTATAGCAACGCAGTGCTCCCAACTGACCTGTTTCTAATTATTTTTAGCTCAAACAAAAAAGTGTTGAGGGATATCTACCTTACGGGGGAAGCGGTTGAAAGTCCGTAAAGGTAGAACGGCAGGGTCTGTTTACCTTCTCAACGGAAAGGATTGAAAGTTCGTACGCGAAGCGAGGTGTGTAGGCCGCAAAGGATTAAAACCAATTAAAACTTGGAACGAAATGCAAATTGGAGTAGCATGTCCGACTCGCCGAGCCTCCGCACTTAATTTCCTCTTACGTTGTTTCGCTCGGCTCGATCATCATCGGTCTTATTAGAGACGCGGGTTAGGTAACCGATAGTCCCGGAATTCCCGCGGGATGCTATTAAACCGAGTCTCGACGGGGCTGCTGGCCTAAGCAAGAAAGACTCTGTATAGAGAGACAAGTAATGGTATACCTGCCTGCGCGCGCGCGCGCGCACACACACACACACACACACTCACACGAGAGAAACGCGCACAAGCGGCTCCGTGTGCTAAGGTGGCAACTACCACGCGTGGAGATTTAATTGGGAAATACCCCGATTATACGGCGTGCACAGGCGAACCGTACCGCACATTCTTTATCCGCTGGCCCAGAAATTGCCGGCTGCAATCGGTAACTTATATCGCCGCACTCCAGATATCCGTGGAAATTAACGACGTGAACGGAGAATGGAGAGAGGGTGAGGAAGGAAGCGACGGCGGTCGAAAGAATTGACAGGCGACGCGCAAATTCGTGGCCGAAAGTATTCGATTAATGAAGGAAAAGGAAAAAGAAAACACAAAAAGGGAACATTTGACGATGGATAAAAGTGCTTCCACTCCTGCGGAGTGGGACGTCACGTCAGCCGGCAAGAAGGAAATTAAAGGTAGCCGCCCCATCGCCGCTGCAATCCTGCGATCACTCTCAACTCTTTGATCGATATAGCGTCGGGTTCGGCGATAAGGAAGACCGAAAGTTCATTCGTTTATCAGAGCCAAACCGTTCTGGAAGTATTCTTGTAATGAGGAAAGTTCCTTCACCTACCGCGCGGGAATCACGCCAACCACTACATAGTCG